GCTCTCCGATTGGCTGGTTTAAACCATTTTTTACAGGAGTGGGTGGAAAGGTTGGGGGAGGTTTTCTCCATACCACTTTTTGTCCATGGCCCCAAATACACCCTGAAAAATAAGGAAACTCTAGTACTGACACATTTCTTGCTTGCTAATGCAAAATTAGCGATCTGGAAACGTCGGAAAAACCAACTTGCTGGAGTGGGATGGACGGATGCAGTGCTCTGTCTGAGGGGGCTGGTGGCAGCGCGTCCGAGGGTGAAGCATGCATACTACACGCTGATCAATCATCTGCAGGGGTTTCTGGATGTGTGGGCTGTTGGGCAGGTTCTGTGCTCACTGGGGGAGAATGACTATTATTGACATTTAAAAAAATAGGTGTAGTCTTTGTTTTTAAAGTGTGTAAAAGAGGATGTTTTTAAATGGGTGATGTTTCAAATGATATTTATTTTGGTAGTGGTGAAATCTGGTTATTTATTTATTTGAAATTGTAATATATTAGGGTTTTTACAAACTCTTTTGCAGGGTGTGTGTATCTTCTTCTTCTTCTTCTTCTTCTTCTTCTTCTTCTTCAATATATATATATAACTAGTCCAGCTATTATATATATTTTAATTACACATGTATGTTTTATTCAATGTGAATGTCAAACAAAGGACAGGAAACAAAAGCATTTAATTTCATACTGGGATATTTGACTGGTCTCAATTGAAATGTTTGTCCTCTCAGATCTTTGGTCCAGTGCAGTGCATCTTCAGCTTTAAGAGCCAGCAGGAGGCCATAGAGCGGGCCAACAGCTCCCGGTATGGCCTGGTGTCCGCAGTGTTCACAGCCAGCATAGACAGAGCTCTGTCTGTGTCTGCAGCCCTGGAGACTGGCACTGTCTGGTGAGTCCACATTTCATTTGCCTATTTGTCAATAAAACAACATTTACATTTTATTCCAACAGCATCATGGGGCAAATTCAGGCATGATCTGGTGAAATAATGTAATGCATGATCATTATACAAAATTCGAAACATTTTTCAATTAGTCGTTCTTGCAATTTTCTCTACTATCCATATTCACATATCAAACAATATGCACAAAAGGGAACACACAATCAGAGATTAAGAAACAATATGGCTGACTGATTCCACTTGAAAAAACTGAGGTAGACAAAGTTACCCTCAGCGAGCCCCAAGTGGTCTATAATATCACGGCTGAGGGAAGAACTCAGCAAATTGGACTCAATAGCGTGTGATCACCATGAGAATAAAATCAAATGCTGCATTTTCCTCCACAGCCATAACTGCACCATGTATCAAACATCAGTTATGGCTAACTTTAAGCAAAAATTGACATTACACACTGCCTGATATGTATTGATCAGCCTCAATCATACAAAAGCAAACCCGCAATGAAACTGAGACTTTTGTCACACAAAAACATACTCAGCTTTGTTAAAATTAAATGCATATTGATTTTGTTTCTCAGTTATTCTAACAAATGACATGTAATTTAATGTTAATTGTTTCTCTAACTTTAACGTTTTAACAGAAAATGATCTAAAATCTTTATTTTGTATTATATGTTTTACATTTTTCAACTGGCCTTCATTTCACTGCTGGTAAACAGTTTATTTTATGTGATTACAATTTGGTTTTGGCCATTATTACGTTTTGTGTTCTCTATCTTTGTTCAGGATAAACTGCTATAACGCCCTTCATGTCCAGACTCCCTTTGGAGGGTACAAGATGTCAGGCAATGGACGAGAGCTGTAAGAACCATCACTCTCTTCATATTTCAGATTATTCACTTGTTCCCTGTGTGTTCCCTCACCATGTGTTGTTTCTCTCCTCTCAGGGGAGAGTATGCTCTGGCTGAGTACTCAGAGGTGAAAGCAGTGACCATCAAATTGAGAGAAACTCTGTGAGAAGGACTACACTACACACCTCTGTCTTCACTCATGCTGCTGAGACTGAGTTTAGGAATAGATTAGTTGGTCTGAACACTATGTCAGATCCCAGAAGATTGATGTTTGTTCACCTTTTCTTGTAAATAGTGTAGGTGAATAAATACTTTTACTCAACAGTAATTACAGTTTCAGTAATGTCAGTTTAAAAAGACATTCTTTTTAAAAACAAATATTCATATTTAAAAAAGATTACTGAAACGATGATTGGATAAAAAAATGTTTTTGCTTTATGGTCCATTTTTAGAGCTTTCTGCCCTCATGAATAGAAGACATAACCTACATGTTTAAAGTAAAGGTGATCTCTGGTCTTTGGTGTCACATGTGAATCCTCTTTCTCTGTTCGTCCACTGACTCCTCTGTTCGTCCACTGTCTCCTCCGTTCGTCCACGGACTCCTCCGTCGTCTACTGACTCCCAGTCGTCCACTGACTCCTCCAGATGTCGACTGACTCCTCCAGATGTCGACTGGCTCCTCCAGATGTCCACTGGCTCCTCCAGTCGTCCACTGGCTCCTCCAGATGTCCACTTGCTCCTGCTCTGTGAATTGGATTGACTGGTAGGAGCCAGTGGATGCTGGAAGAAGTTTTAGGCGTTAACAGACAGCTGAAGTTGTGGGTCCTCTGGTCCAGGGTCCTTGCTCACTCTGATGTAGTTTCCCTGTCATAATTAAAACCACAGAGACTACAACTCAGCTAAAACGTGAGCTTAGCCTGATCGATCCGATCTCCATTTAGAAGATCGGATCGGTCTTGTAAGGACACTTGCAAAGCATCAATTCATGGTTTTTCCTAACCGGTACCAGTATGTAGTTATTTCTGCATTATTTTGAAACGTGTATGACAGTTAAATTAGGGGGAAATATGTTCATGTTGTTGTTGGTATTTTTGTATGTGTAGTAAGAGCCAGTGAGCAACGTACTTTCATAATAATAATAAAAACTGTAAACACGCAATAAAATTAATAGCCTAATAATAATATTTGTCGGTGTTAATTAATAAAGCGTTAACTTGCCCAGCCCTAGTTTTAATACATCCTGCTTTGGTTATGATTATTGTATGACAAGCTTTTGTAGTTTAATACAGATTAACATAAAGCCTTAGTGTTCAATTTATTCTGTTGTCGGAAATGTGTTTGAATAGAATAAAAGAACGTGTGGCAAAATGGGATTCTGTGTGTCTGTTTTGAACAATGTTCAACTTTATTTCTGTTACACTGAAATGCAAATTACTTTCCCCCTTGGTTTACTTTATTTTTGTCTTCACTTGAATGGGAATATTAATACGCTGTTTCGAAGTAAGACGGCTGTCGGGAATTATTTTGAAAAATAAGACCGGAAATGCCGCCGGTGTCCGGTCTGACTTGACACCGTGCGTGTGGGTTGGAAAGTTTGCATGCAGGGATCAGGAAGTGGGCACAGTATAGCCCCGGGTGAAGCCGTTTGGCGGACCAATGTTCTGTACAGTCTGGAGTCATTTCTGGATCCTTTCTGCAGTAATGTGCCGAGCAGCCATCAGGTGAGTTGGCTAACAAACTGCTGCGTCATCTTTCAACTATTAGCGGGTTTTCCTTCGTCAATCTGAGGAAGCATTATCTATTTAAACATCATTTTCTAATAATCTTCTTTTATTGTAAATACTCACGAAGTACTTTTCATATCGTTAGGCCTGTAATTGTTCTGGTCGGCTATTACAACAACAAATACACACTCAGACAAACACATACTCACTTTGATTTCAAACCTCAACACATACACACTCACTCAGACAAAGCTTGTGTGTGAGGATGAAACATAAAAAAAACGGTATGTTATTAACACGCAGTGAATAATTAATATATTTAAAACTTAGGTTATTTTGTCCTGACATTTCTAAATAGATGTCTTCTACTTATGTCTTGCTTTTGTTTCTCAGCATTTGGCTCATAAAGCAGGCTCAATAAGGTTTTTCCACCAGGTTCTGCTGCCTTAGTTAGTGTCTTTCTTATGTGGTGTAGATTCATTGAGAGTTGAAGATGCTAATGCTCTCAGACAGATTGATTGATTGATTGAAAAGTTTATTAACAGCTTGTATATTGGGTACAGTACAGTACAGCTCAAAACATACAATTGTTAAGGGGATGCAGACCAGAGAAAGACTTTCGTCTTGTTTACATCAGGGTCCCCCATTTCCAATTCATCATATCATTTAAGACATATAAGACATATTTGACATACAGATGGCTTATTTACAATTTACATACAGGTGGTTTTTTTACATACAGATGGCTTATTTACAATTTTCATTTTAGATTTCGTTCTAATACATCCTAACCGGACATTTAAGACATACCAAGTCTACAGATATAGAGTTAGTAACAGAGTCTAAAATGCGAGTATATACAGGACTGTCTCAGAAAATTAGAATATTGTGATAAAGTTCTTTATTTTCTGTAATGCAATTAAAAAAACAAAAATGTCATACATTCTGGATTCATTACAAATCAACTGAAATATTGCAAGCCTTTTATTATTTTAATATTGCTGATTATGGCATACAGCTTAAGAAAACTCAAAAATCCTATCTCAAAAAATTAGAATAGTTCCTCAGACCAAGTAAAAAAAAAAGATTTATAACAGCAAAACACAATCAAACATTTGAAAATGTCCAT